CGTGAATCCGAGGGGCACTTTTAGGTATGATGAGTTCTATCGCCAATCCTGCTCCCCAAGCAATTCTGCAATGTTTCGCTCCTGGGCCCAGGCCAGAAGGGGATGGCGAATGTGTCCAACGTCGATTCATCTCCTTGAGAACCGTAATACGTGGGTCCAGATTGCACTGAGCCGGTGCCATGGGTCCATGATGTTAAGATCGACCAGCATGTTCGAGACTATCTCTCCAGAAGGTCTTTTTTATGATGATAGGGTCCCGCGTGATTCTGGTCGCGGCCTATCGGGGTGCAGTCTTCCCAGAGCCCTAATCCAGAGTTGATGTCCATGCCTGGAATATGGGTACTGCGAGCACACAGTTCTTCGGTCTCGAACGTGTTCCATGGCTGCTGTGGCGGCCGCTATGTGGGCCTTTCGCACTTTGCCGTCGAAGTATATTGGTGGGGGGTACGCGCATATGACCAGGATGTCCAGGAGTTTTGATGTTATGCGAATCTACCCAGCTAACCAGATATACTCGATGGGGCCGAGACGACAGAGTAGATGAGTTCTGGCTTGAATCGGCGACCGAGAATAATGCATACGCCAGCGCTGCTATGACTGTAAGGTGCACGTCTCCGTCTGACATGTACTGCAGTGTACTCCTCCTCAGATCCTCGGTATGACAGTTCCTCCCCTCCCATTATGTAATACACGTGCCGGGCGTCATGGTGATGTCGCAATCCAACTCATTGGCGATCTCCCTGGCGCGGCCTGTCGTGCAAAGAGACAGTGGTAGATAGAGGAACTCGAACGAGACTACACATATACATATATCTATCTATTTATTTATCTGCTTGTATATATGTATTTCAGCGGTCCCTCGTGCAGTTCGCCTCAGACGTCAGAAGCCGAACATGGCAAGCACGCGAGAGGGACGCCCGTTGGGTGTGGGCCGAGATGGGGGGTCGCCGCCGCTGCCGAACTCCTTTGGGGGAGAGATGCCGGCTAGAAGGAGGAAGAGGAGGAGGCGGAGGAGGAGGGTGACGATATGCAATAAATGGCGAGGATGAGAGCCAGGTGATGGCGATGTTGATAGACAGGCAGCGTGCGGCGGGGCAGGTAACAGAACGTCGCTGTGCGAGAAACACATCGGCCATTGCGAGCCCTTTCTATGAGGCATTGTCTAAGCGTTGCCAGGTGGACTCGGACATTTTTCAACAGATAGGGCATATCGTAGCCCTTGCTGGGATCCCGGACGCTGCAGCCTTGCGATTGCCGTGCACATTCATCCAGAGGGTGGCCACCGAATTATTGCCAACAAGCTGGTCGGCACTTTCTGAGCATGACATCTTTTTCAGAATCCGAAGTGACTAATGCGACCTGCGCCAAGTCTTTCGTAAGATCCTTGGCGAGACGGGCCATGACAACAATGGGCTGCTGGCGTTGATTCTTTGTCATTGTCTGGCGGAGCGCGTTTGCGCCAGCGGTGTCCAGGAGGAGGAGGAGGAGGAGGAGGAGGAGGAGGAGGAGGAGGAGGACGATGATAAAGGAGGGATGAGGAGAAGCAGGAGGAGGAGGAGGGAGGAGGAGGAGGAGGAGGAGTCATGGCGAGCAGGAGGAGGAGAAGGGAGGAGAAGGCAGGCGTCGGAGTCGATGGAGGAGAATAGAGTAGGCGGAGGAGGAGGAGAACATGGTAAGGAGGAGGAGGAAGGTGGAGGAGGAGGGGAGCGAGGATGAGGACGCGCTTGGGTAACAGGAGGAGGAGGAGGAGGAGGAGGAGGAGGAGGAGGAGGAGGAGGATGGCGAGGAGGAGGGCCAGGGGCAGGATGGAGAGGTGATGCTGATGATGATAGTGCTACTGCATCGGCTGCTGCTGATGATGATGAGGAGGATGATGATGGCGGTGGTGGTGACGATGATGAGGATCTTGCTGCTGATATGCTGATGGTGATGATGGTAATGATAAGGAGGACGGTGGTGGTGTGGATGCAGAATCTGATTTTGCTGCTGCTGCTAATGATGACGACGCTAATGGTGATGATGACGGCGATGGTGGTGATGACGACGACGGGGACGTTGACGACGATGACGACGGTGGTGGTGGTGATGATGCTGATTATGAGAATGATGATGGGGAGGAGGATGACGGGGAGCATGGGGATGTGGGTGGCGGTGGTAACGAGAATGATGAGTTTAACGCTGCTGATGAGATGGTGATCTTTGAAGAGCAAGAGGACGGTGGTGTTGAGGATGATGCTGTTGATGATTCTGCTGCTGCTGGTGACTATAACATTGCCGCTGGAGAGGAGCAGGTGGATTGTGGTGGTGGTGGCGGTGCTGAGGATGATGATGATGATGGTGATGATGATGCTGATGCTGATGCTGCTGCTGATGATGATGCTGATTATGGTGCTGGTGATGATGATGATGATGATGATGATGATGATGATGACGGTGATGATGTGGTGGTGTTGATGACGATTAATTTGGCGATGAGCGTGCTGCTGCTGCTGACGACAAGACTGCCACTGGTGAGGGGCAGGTGGACGGTGGCGGTGGGGTTGACGACGACGATGATGATGCTGACGATAATAATGATGGTGATGCTGACGATGCTAATAATGCTGATGATGCTTATAATGACGATGATGATGATGATGATGATGATGATGATGATGACGATGATGCTGATGATGATCATCATGCTGCTGCTCACGGTGATGATGCTGTTGCTGTTGATGGTGGTGTTGATGCTGCTGCTGACGATGCTGATGCTGATGATGCTGATACTGATGCTGATGATGACGACCCTGCTGATTATGATGATGATGGTGGTGGTGATGATACTGCTGCTGGTGAGGATGGTGCTGCTGATGAGGATGGTGCTGCTGCTGATGACGAGGATGATGATGATGCTGATGATGATGATGATGATGATGATGCTGATGATGATGATGATGATGATGATGATGATGGTGATGATGATGATGATGATGATGATGATAAGGATGATGCTGATGCTGATGATGATGATGATGATGATGATGCTGATGATGATGATAACCATGATGATGATGATGCTGATGTTGCTGATGATGATGTTGACGATGTGGTGGGTTTGGTGATGATAGAGGCGCAGATGACCATGTACACGACTATGCTGTTGTCGGCGATAGAAATAGCGATTCGGATTTTGATCATGATGATGGTGCTGATGCTGATGATGATTATGCATATGATGCTGATCATGCTTCTGATGATGCTGGTGCTGATTATGATGATGATGATGCCGATTCTGATGGTGCTGATGACGCGCTGGTCCTGTGTATGGCATGACGATGCTAATGGGATGATGCTGGCGGGGGTGATGCTGACAGCGATGATGGTGACGGTGGTGGTGATGCTGATGATGCTGATGATGCTGATGATGCTGATGATGATGATGATGATGATGATGATGATGTTACTGATGTTAATGAAGTTGACGAACACGATGACGATGGTGATGACGATGGCGATATTCATGATGCCGAAGCTGAGTCCGATTGTCATGCAGGTGGTGGTGGTGGTGGTTTCGATGGTGATGATGATGATGATGCGAATGATGACCGTGACAATGATGATGGCGATGATGATGATGATGATGACGATGCTGACGATGATGCTGCTGATGCTGATGATGCTGATAGTGGTGGTGATGGCGGTGATGATGATAGCGTCGATGTTAACGACGATGATAGCGTCGATGTTAACGACGATGATGATGACGCTGATGTTGGTTATGATGATGCTGCTGATGATGAGGATGATGTCGATGATGATGATGATGATGACGATGCTGATGACGATGTTACTACTGATGACGACGCCGGCGATGCTGATCGTTATGATGTGGATGAGGTGGAGGACGTTGTGGTTGTTGATGTTGGTGATGTTGCTGATGATGATGATGCTGATGATGGTGATGTTGCTGCTGATGATGATGACGATGGTGATGGTGGTGATACTGATGATGATGATGATGCTGATGATGATGATGATGATGATGATGATGATGATGATGCTGATGATGATGATGATGATGATGATGATGATGATGATGCTGATGATGATGATGAAGAAGAAGCTGATGCTGATGGTGATGGTAATGTTGCGATTGTGGCGGTTGTGATGCTGATGATGACGATTGGTATGGTGCTGGCCATGATGAGGATGATTAGTAGGATGAGGGGGAGGCGAGGGGAAGGTTGAGGGGTCTCGTCCCTCTTCCTTCCTCCCTCCTCCTGCTCCCCGCCTCCTCTTGCTTCCTCCTCCAGATCCCCTTCCATCTTCTTCTCCCCTTCATCGCCATCGGTCTCTTCCTCTCTCTCCTTTCCCCTCGTCCTCCTTTAATCCTTCTGCCCTCCTGCTGCTCCCCCCCCTCCCTCTCTCCTCACCGTTCTCTCCTTCGCCTGCCTCCTCCTTCCTCCCTCCTGCTTCCGTCCCCCCTTCATCCACCTCCGCTTGATGGTCCTGGGTCCCGACCGCGGGCACGGGAGGCCGACGCCGCGGGAGAACGCACGGACTGACAGAAGCATCTCGTCGGAGATTTGGGCCCCTGCTCCTTCTACCGCTCTTCCCCTCCTCCTCTCCCTTCTGTCTCTTCCCTTCCCTCCCTTCCCTCCCTCCCTCCCTTCCCTCCCTCCCTTCTGTCTCTTCCCTCCCTCCCTCCCTCCCTCCCTCCCTCCTTCCAACCACTCTTCCCTCCTTCCCTCCCTTCTCGTCTCTCCCTCCCCTCCCTTCCCCCCCCTCCCTGCCTCCTCCCTCCCTACCGCTCTACTCTGTTTCCTCGCCGTCTGTCCTCCCGGTCTGGGACCAAAACGCAGGAGTCAACAAGGGGAGGAGGAGGAGGAGGAGGAGGAGGAGGAGGAGGAGGAGGAGGAGGAGGAGGAGGAGGAGGAGGAGGAGGAAGAGGAGGAGGAGGAGGAGGAGCCCTCCTCTCCTCGCGCGGCGCACACCCCCCCCGCCCGCCCCCCCCCCAGGCGAGGACGAGGCCGAGCGGGAGGAGGCCCTGACGATGGTGGGGCAGAGGTCGCGCCGCCCCCGGGGGGGGCCGCCTCGGGGGCGCCTGCCTCTGCGCGGCCGCCGTCGGAGCAGCCGCGCTCGAACGGATAATTCTCGCCAGGAGGAGGAGGAAGGGGAGGAGGAGGAGGAGGAGGAGGAGGAGGAGGAGGAGGAGGAGGAGGAGGAGGAGGAGGAGGAGGAGGAGGATAAGGATAAGGATAAGGATAAGGATAAGGAGGAGGAGGAGGAGGAGGAGGAGGAGGAGGAGGAGGACCAGGCCATCTGCAGCTGCGAGTGCCCCTGTGGCAGATGGCAGGAAGGAGCGGGCATGCAAACCGCCCGGATGCCCTCCGACTGGAGCCTTCGGTCGAGCCCCGTTTAGCGCTACGGTAAAGGCCGACGTCGGAAGCAGACAGTTCAGCATCGAGCACGGCGTTCAGCAAGCCCGAATACACCTCCGGCACATCGAGCCAACATTGGCACGAAAGGGTTTCGGCATACAGTTTGGAAGTATACAAACCACGCCACTGCCTGAGATGGTATTTGTTCCCAGTGTCCTCCTACTAGAACCTAATATACGATCATTCAAGTGTATCCTGCGAGACCTGAAACGCGAAACTGCCTGGCGCGGACTTGAAATGCACCCCGGCAAAACGATCATCCTCACAAATCTTTGCAGACGACAGGGGCAATACATTACACACGTGGATATCGACGACGACAGGGTCTAGATTTTCAGTTCCTAGGAGAGCGCCAACTACCTGGGTAGCAAGCTGACGTAGTACGACTTCCACTACGCCGAACTTGCCAACGGACTTGCAGCCCTTCGTAGCCCCCTCGCTGCCCTTCGTGCGCCCGTTGCAGCCCTTCGTGGCCCCCTCGCTGCCATTCGTGGCCCCGTTACAGCCCTTCGTGACCCTCTCGCTGCCCTTCGTGGCCCCGTTGCAGCCCTTCGTGGCCCCCTCGCTGCCCTTCGCCCCCTTCCTGCCCTTCGTAGCCCCATCGTTGCCCTTCGTGGCCTCGTTGCAGCCCTTCGTGATCCCCTCGCTGCCTTTCGTGGCCCCGCTGTCGCCCTTCGTGGCCCCCTCGCTGCCCTTCGTGGCCCCATATATGTATGCCCTTCGTGGCCCCCGCTCGTTCGCGCCCGTCGTGGCCCCCCCTGCATGCGCTTCGTGGCCCCTCTGCCGCCCTTCGTGGCCCCCTGGCTGCCCTTCGTGGCCCCGTTGCTGCCTTCAGTGGCTTCGTCCTGGCCCTTTGCGGCCCAATATGCGTATGCCCTTCGTAGCCCCCGCTCGTTCGCGCCCGTCGTGGCCCCATATGCATGCCCTTCGTGGCCCCGCTGTCGCCCTTTGTGGCCACCTCGTTGTCCTACGTGGCCCCGTTGCTACCGTCAGTGGCCCCGTCGTTGCCTTCGGTGGCCCCACATCATCTGCCCTTCGTGCCCCCCGCTCGTTCGCGCCCTTCGTGGCTCCGTGCGCATGCCCTTCGTGGCCCCGCTGTCGCCCTTCGTGGCCCCCTTCCTGCCCTCTGTGGCCCCGCTGTCGCTCTCGCTCTCGCTCTCGTTTTCGCTCGTCGTCGCCGCCGCCGTCGTCGTCGTCGTTGTCGTCGTCGTCGTAGTCGTCGTCGTCGTCGTCATCGTTGTCGTCGTCGTAGTCGTCGTCGTCGTCGTCGTCGTTGTCGTCGTCTCCGTCGTCGTCGTGGTCGGTCCCCCGTCCGTCTGTCTTGGGATCGGAATGCCGCCGATCAGCGCTGCCGCTGGCCAAGCCGACGGTCCGCGGCCCAGCCTGCAGGGAAGAAACATATACCCCCCAAGTGGGTACGATCGAAGATGCAGAGGGCGGGTATCGAGGGTTTGGGAAATACACGTGGACTGTCGCTCGATCAGATAAGAGCGGCCAGCCTTAACATGATTGTTGTTGTTGGTGTTATTATCGTTGTTATTTGCTGCTGTTCTGGTTGAGCTCTCAGTCCTAAGAAGAATGATAGTTTACCCACCCTGTCCGGTAACCATCATGTTTTGTTAAAAGTGATTATCCCGGGGATGGCATGTTATATATACACACAGGGAAAGTGAGATGCCACCACACTGCGCCTCTGGCCCCCGGTTTACAACAACAGCGGCTCCCGCCTGGTACCTCTTCACAATTTATTCCCAAGTCGCGCTCTCGCGCGGGACTTCCTCACAGCTTATGCAGGAATCGCGCTCTCGCGTGGGACTTCTTTGTAATTTATTCTGGCGCCGCGCCCTCGACACTCAGGAACCACGCTCTCCTGGTGAATTTCCTCACGTTTTATTTGGGAATCGCGCTATCGCTTGAGCCTTCCTTGCGATTCATGCAAGGCGTACGCTTCAGCAAGCCGCCTGCTCGACCTGGCCGTCTGGGCTCAACTTCCCGACCCGCCCGTTAGGGTCTACCCGCCCGATCTGCCTGTCTGGTGCTGCCAGGGTTTTCTGCTCCTAGCACCCCTATTGCTATTCTCTCTCGTGCTCCATCCTCCTTCCTCCCCCTTGTCCCTTCCTTCCATCTGTCTTCTGCTCCCCTGCCTCAGCGGCTGCGCGAAATACACGTTGCAGGTAAGAAAGATCTTCCCCTAAGGGGGTACGATTGAAGACGAAGAGGGCGGGTATCGAGGGTTTGGGATGTACGCTTCGAAGGGCACGCGAGCAGATAAGAGCGAACAGTCCTAAACTGATCGTTATTATTGTTGTCGTCGTCGTTGTTGAATGTTGATTGTTAAACAATCATTATTGTTGGACCCCTTACAGGCGCCCTGGCGCTCTCGCCGAGGCGCTGGCTGCATTTTCATTGAACATGAGGCTCACGCTCAAGCGGTTTGGGGGGCCGCCCAAACCGGCCCCCCAACAACAACAACAACACCAACAACAACACCAACAACAACAACATCAACAACAACAACACCCACAACAACAACAACAACACCACCAACAACAACAACACCAACAACAACAACACCAACAACAACAACACCACCACCAACAACAACAACAACAACAACAACGCTCCCGTTCGAGACTTCCTCCTATTTTAGTCAGAGCCGGTGCTCTTGCTCGCCGCCGAAAGCAGCCGTCTAAACAAAACCAGCGCTTCCGCTCGAGACTTCCTCCCGTTTTACCTTGGACAGGCGCGCTACTCGTTCTCTCATCGGCGACGCCCCCCAGCAACAACAACGCTCCCGCTCGAGACTTCCTCGCTTTTGACTCAAGGCGGTGCTCTTGCTCGCCGCCGACAGCCCTCGTCCCGACAAAACCAGCGCTTCCGCCCGAGACTTCCTCCCGTTTTACGCTGGACTGCCGCCCTTTTCTCCTCCTCCTCGTCCTCCTTCTCTCCTCCTCCTCCTCCTCTTTCTCCTCCTTCTCCTCCTCCTCCTCCTCCTCCCTCCTCCTCCCTCCTCCCCCCTCCATCCTCTTCCTCCCTCTTCCTTCCTCCAGCCCCTCCCTCGTCCCTCCCCCGTCCCTCTTTCCTCCCTCCTCCTCCCTCCTCTTCTCCTCCCTCCTCCTCCTCCTCCTCCTCCTCCGCCTCCGCCTCCGCCTCCTTCTCCTCCTCCTCCTCCTCCTCCTCCTCCTCCTCCCTCCTCCTCTCCTCCTCCTCCTCCCTCCTCTCTCCTCCCCCTCCCTCCTGTTCCTCCTCTTCCTTCCTCCAGCCCCTCCTCTTCTCCCTCCTCCCTCCTCTTTCCTCCGTCCCTCTTTCCTCCCTCCTCCTCCGCCTCCTCCCTTTTCCTCCCTTCCTCCTCCTCCTCCTCCTCTCCTCTCCTCCTCCTCCGACCTCCCTACCGCTCAGTCCGTCGGCCAGTGCTTTGTTCCACAGGGGAACACGTGGATACCGCTAGTCCGCGGCCAGTGCCAGGGCGTTTCTGCCCGACGTTTCTCTTTCAACCTGTGAGCTCCTGGAGGAGCATACCGACTCACACCCAGACGGCAGCAGGCACCACGTGTGTGCGATGGCGCCGCCGTCCAAGAAATGGGCTTGGTCAATCTGCAAGAGCTGCAACAATTGGGCGTACGACTGGAAGATCAAGCGCAATGGGGGCTGCTGCGCCAAGTGCGACTCGTTCGTCACTCTCTGGGCGGATACTACCTCGGCGTCGCGCAAGCCACCATGGGGAGACCAACCTACTAAGGGCACCTACGCGGAAGTGGTGTGCAGGCAGTTGGCCCACGCCGTTTCCAAGCTTGGGCCCGACCAGGGCATGCAGGAGCAGCTGGAGCACCTGCAGACCACCATCTCCCAGAAGTGCGCCCCGCCCAAGAAGGAGTTACCCAAGTCCGCGGCTCTCAAGCAGGCAACCGGCAAGGTCAACTCCGCCAAGGCCAAGCTCGATGAAGTCACCAAGCGACACATGGACGCTGAGAAGGCGCTCGCCAAGCTCGCTGAGCAGGTGGCGCAGGCAGCGGCGGAGGTCTACGAGGCACAGCAGGAGCACTCGAAGGCCCTGGAAGAATACAACATGCACTCAGTGGCGGAGGGCACGGCGGCTAAGCCCGAGCAGGCGGGCTTCCAGGTGGACGAGGGCCTCTTCGCCGACGACGAGGACCTGGAACAGACGCAGAAGGACCAGCTTGCAAAGTTCAGGGAGGACGCGAAGTCCTTGCAGGAGTTGCTGGAGCGCGCCAAGACGCAGCAGGAGGCCCTGCTCACCATGGTCGAGAGCGCGAAGAAGATCAATGCGGATCATGCGGCAAAGAAGCGCAGGATCAACGAAGACGGGCAAGTACACGCACATGTTCCACCACCCGCTCAAGACGCCAAGCCTGAGACACCACCACAGCAACAACAAGCCAGCGATCCAGACGCAGAAAAGCGTAAGGCAGAGGCGATCGCCAAGCTCATCGAGGAGAACAGGGAGCGTACCAGGGCGGCATCTCAGAGGGCGACCACCACTTCACCTACGGCTGGTACGGCTGCTGCGGGAGGCGCTACGGGCTATTCTTCTGGTCGGGCTGGTATTTAGCCCGCCATGGCAGCCGCCTGCAGCGCTGGGCAGGCTTCCAGCACCGCCGTTTCCCG